CCCGTTTGCTGTCGCGTTCAGGCTGTCTCTACGGATATCCCTGTCTCTGTGCGAGTTTGTGTATGTCCTCGTCTGTCTCTGGTTTATTTCGTTTTATTTTTTTTTTATTTTTTACTGGCACGTACTGCTGACCCTTGGGGTCCTTCCGGAAGGCTACCCCCCAGGCTGGTGGTGCGCACGTTCCACTATTTATTTATTTAATTGTTTCTGATTCTTTTGTTTTCTTGTATTTTATCGCTCTGCTATCCCTTGGAGTCCATTTTATTTTGGTATACCTTTTCTAGGTACGTTAGCCTGTGACCACGGAAATTGACCGAGTCAAGTGCTGGGTTAGTACGGAGAGATTGAGACAGAAGGAGGTACTGGATAGAGAGACCGGGATGGTTATTAATGTGAAGACAACAACAATAACAACAACATAGAGCTAACGTGGCAAACAACAACAACAACTCAGCCGCAACTATGTGGCCGACGGAGCTTTGGGTGGCACAATGCAGGTGTGTCCCTCCCGATCCAACAGCGACAGGTAAGAGCTGCTGAGGCGTGTGGTAGTTCGCAAGCACCAGGCAAGATTGGCTATGTATGTGATCACCAGACCACCAGCCGTGCGTACCACCAACTTCGACCTTGACGCATTGCACATCGAATGCCCGCCATCTATGTGGCACTCATCAACGGTGCGCTGACGTCACATCAACTGCTGGAGGTTCACGGGTCGCCTCGGGGTGACGGCAGAAGGAAAGATAAGGAACTGGGATCGCCCCGGGAACACACACGCGCCACTGCCACGTTCTTCTTTACGGCAATAAACACACACCCGTTGCCGGGCTGGGAACGGTGTCTGTCGGTGTCTACAGCAGTACATCTTGTCACTGCTCCTGTTGTCTTCTTTCAAAGAGGTGAGGCTGGATGGCGATGGCTTCACACCCACACTCGTTCGAGGGAGAAGTTCGGACACAGAGCAGCATCCGTTTCTCCCAGGACTCTTTTGTTGTGCACGCACACGCAATCACCCGACGCAACGCTAGGAACTTGTGCACGCACGCGCATATTTTTTTTTTTTGTTTTTTCTCCCATCATTGGACACTGTCGTCTGCACCTCTGGCCGCCATCCTCCATTTCTACCAGCTAGACGACCCAACCGGGGTCGGCGTCGGACCCCCTCCTGCGGTTCCTGCCTGACATATTTTTATCGCGAGAAGGGTACAGCAATCCCTTCCCTCGCGACTTATGAAGTCGATCATGTAGACTACACACCCGTGTTGGGTACCTTGGTTTCGCTTTTGCTGTTGCCTTTGTTTTTGTTCGTCTGGCTGTCTGCCCATCTGTCACCTCTTTGTCCTGTTTGCTCCGTTACTCCCACGCCCTGGTGTGACGTGCCTGGTGCTGGTACGTTCCCCTTCATTTTTTCTTCAGGCGGTGTGGGATGCGTCCTCCTTTTTTTTTGTTTTTATTTTATTTTGATCGGTTTCAGAGGGCTCCCTTCCCGAACGGTCGGTGCGATACTTGTTCTTTTCTTTCTATCATTTTGTTTTCTTTTTCCGAGTGGTTTGCACCCTATTTTTGTTTTGTTTCCCCGCGGCGTCGTATGTGCCGGGTTTTGAGACCACGGGCTCCCCATTTTCTGTGGACTACATAGAGCTAATGTAGTAAGAAACAATATAAGGTTCTCAGCTTCTCTGGGCAACCTAGTCGGCACCCTTCCTGCGGTTATAGCCGCGTTACGGGGTCCATTGGGAGAGTCGGTGAGAGTTCGGATACCGGGAACCGTGTTGGTGGAGCGGATGGGGGACGCTATCAAAGAACTCAACCAGGAGCATGCAATATCGGTGGAGATTCTGAAGGGGATCCTTCCCCCGTCATGGGTTGAGTGGGCCTTAGAACCGACAGGAGAAACCGGAAGGCGTCAGCCCACCGTTGCAGAACTGGCAGCACACGATGGGGAATCTACTACGCCGAGGAAAGCCCAGCACAAACTGGGCAAGGCGATTAACAAGATACAACTTGAAAAGTTCATGGAGTCTCTGGAGCACCTCCCCCAGGAGGCGGTACCACCCACGCGGGACAACCCCTACGGAGGTCAAGAGGCCAGGAACATGGCATACGCACGAACGAGAAGCTCGCAAGGGCAAGGGGGGCACGCGTTCCTGAGAGCGGCTCCCACCGACCGAGCTCGAGAGATTCCATCGAACGAATTCGTCTACGCGACGAGACGCGCCTTGGGAGTTGAAGAATTCTTGGCGGAAAGATGTCCCAGGTGCCACAGAGGCAGGGAAGGCGAGATCATCACAACGGTGCACGCAAGGACCTGTCGAAGGGATGGAGCACAGGTCAACATGCACGAGCCGTTAAAATACGCACTATCGAGAGCACTCAACGGCCTTCGCGTCAAACACGACGTTGAAAGCGGGGCACCGTTCACGGGGGAAAGAAACCTGAGCATGGACATCGTCATCAGGCCAGGAGCCCTCACGAACGCATCTTCTCCGGGGTACCGCAACAAAGGAATACTCCTCGATGTCACACACGCAGACCCGCAAGCACAGGTACACTTGCGGAACGGCAGCGCGACCAGCGATGGAATCGCAGCCCAAGCATCCGAGGCGCGAAAGCGTCAGCACTACGCTCGTCCGGGACACGTGTCCTTTGACGAACGCAGCTTTAAACTTACCACCTTAGCCGTGGAAAGCTTTGGCCGCCTTGGAGAGGAGGGTTACGAGTTCATCGATGAACTTGCGACACATGCCGTGGGAGGAAGGGACGGAGGAACGATGGCTCTGAAAGGAGTCTTCAAGGAACGACTTCTTCAGATCGTTTCGGTGGCTACACAGGTGGCCATATCTCGGCGAGTGCAGAGGTACAAGCTCGCATTGCGCGGGCGTCAAGACGCCGAAAACAGGCGAACAAGATCGACCTCGGACCAGTCAACGCCAATGATATGGGGATGGAGTGTAGACGCATCGTAGAACGCGTTTTCGTTTGAAGTTGGCGTCTTGTTTGAGAGTAGATGTGACAGATTTGCGTAGAATAGGGTAAGATGTTATCATGAACGGAGATGAAAGGGCTTTTCCAACACGGAGATGTAGCATGGATCAAAGCATTTGTTGGATTTCAGCTTTTACAAGCGGACATCAACGCAGTAGTATTTTAGCAAGCTTACGAACGCATATAGGATACCATCAGGATTGTCATTGGTAAGTTGAAGAGGAGATACTTGTACGATGTAAATGACAGTAGAAATAAGTCCTACATGTTGTTGTACTTCTTGGTTTAATATTCATGTAGAGTATGAGACATTAAGTGAAAGTTTTCTGAGGTACATCTGCAATTGTCGGAAGGCAAAAATAAATAAATAAATATAAACAACAACAACAATACCCAATGCTCCTACAGCAGTTCCTGTTGTTCTACCCGACAAAAAGTCGTTCCGACTTCCTCTCACACCGGCAGCTGACGCAGACCCGGACGCCTTTTGCCGTGGTAATGCCTTGTACTACCCTAGGTTGCATGAGATAGCACACCCCCTGGACCAATTTTCGAAGCTCCTTATCTCGACAGGAGAAGGAGTGACGGTGCCCAAAATGGCGGTGATGGAACCGTATCGTTGAGAAGGAGTAACGTCGCTATACCTCCATTTCGGCATCTTCTTCGTCGTGGCGTTATTGAGATTTGAAAATCGGTCCAGGGTGTGTGATATATTATGCAACCTACGTGGAGCCTTGGTCAACCCCTTTAGGGCTGGATCGCCTTTTGGGAACACTTTTTGTCCCCATCTTCTTCACCTGCTTTTCCTCGCGAAGAATGGCATGATTATGATTGTCTCCTACTCGACCAGGGGGGTGCCGGGGTACAAGGGGACGACTCTAGTCTAGTATGGATGTAGAGTGGAGCAGTATGAGGGTGATGAACAGGTCGATTCGCGGGGCGACTACGCCGCGGGTTCAATAGCGAAGTTGCGTCGCGTCTGTCTACCGTTGGGTGGAAAGCGGTACTAGGGGCAAGCGCGGAAGGAGTCCCTAGCCCACCGTTGAAAGGAGGCACCGGGCAACCTAGGGCTTGTTGGGTTAGAAGGTCTCGCTTTCCCTCTAGAGAAATCTTGAACTCCTCCTTTTCGTGCTCCGTTCATCACGCTCCCGCCAGTCGCTGTCTATAATCCCTATCAAAGGTCCCCTCGATCGATGGGACATTTGATAGGGATTATAGACAAGAGACGGCTCAAGTGGGAAGGCAGCTTTGCACTTGCACCCAGAGGACATTTGATATGAATTATTGTCAAGTAGGAAGGCAGCTTTGCACTTGCACCCAGAGATGGAACTGTCTGCACCATCCAATCAGTAGGCGTCATTCGTTCTTTTCTCACATTTCAGAAATTTCGCAAGAACGCCGAAATTTCTGTGCGTGGTAAGGGGGTTAATCTCAGGCTAGGTTCCTCACGCAAGCAAGGCTAGGTTGCTCACCCCAACCAACCCTAACCCTCACCAAAGGCCAACGCACGGCCGAGCGGCCGCGAACTGGGCGAGCACGCGGCTGCGCCGCGTACTGTGTAGACTAGAGCCTCAATGTGTAAACACTGCTGGAGGTGCGTGGTAATCACATTCAATATTATATTTGAGAGTCGGAGCATTGTTACAGCGGCAGTGGTTATTGTGACGCCAAGCTGTCTAGCTGTGAGCGCAATTGCTGCGAGTCGCTTGGATGGCGAGTGCTGTTCCAAGAAAGTCGTTCTACTCACGCACCCTAATCAATCCGAGGTCCGCTTTCCCTTGTACGGATTGGACTTTGGTGTGACCACACGACGGCGTCACGGACGGCATACAAAGACGGGTAATTCTGATCTTGTGTTTGCCTTGGTCATAAATCAAAAACCGGTGGGTCTCTCGGTACACTTCTTATTCGATACCCATTCATCCCGGTCCTCTTTGACAACGCCCGCCTTCTTCCGCTTTCCCACGCGAACCACCGCGAAAAGGGTACGCACGATGTTACGTGGAGACAACTTGCTTACTCCCTTCAGACAGACGGTGATGGACTCGTTGCGTTTTGCACTGAAAGGCCGTACCTCGGTTCATGACAAAGGATTCCCATCCCGTGTCCGACAAAAACGCCTCTCGTCGGCATCGGTAACCCCACCGACCTGCCGACCTTTTCGATGTGTTTTTCAAGAGCAAAATAGAAGAAAGACCGCTTGGTTAGGACGTCGCCACGGAGGCAGGGGGCGAGCCTCGTCGTCGTAAGATTCTTGAGCTCAGGGAATTCAGCCGCGGCGAAGAGAGAAACATTGAGGATGCTGGTGTGGGAAGAAGCAAGACACAATGGTTGCGTTTGGTACCTGTGTCGCGTCGAGGCGTAGGTCGCTTGAAGGCACCGCCGCGATCTCGTGCTCGTAGCTTTCGCGAGTTGAGAGAAATTGGCCGCGGAAAACATCGCGGTCAAGGTTTCTCTTTTGGTTCTCTTGGTTCTCCAGCAGCACTAATCCTTTTCCGATTGAAACCGGACATTTGGCTGCAGTTTCAGTTTCGGGAGAGTGTACCTTGCGAAAAACCACAACTGCAACAGTCATCCTCGCCTTTTCGCGCCATTGTACAGAATGAAGCTCGCTGGGAGCTACTGCTTCCTGTTGGCTCTTTGCGTCTTCCTTGCCGACCACCTCGCTTTCGCCCAACCTACTGGTGGCCGGGCACCATCAGCACTTCGATATGGCCTAGCAAGATTCGCTGAGGAGGACGTCAAGGACACGGGCGTCGGACATTTGCATGCGATCCCTGAAGACGAACATCAAGTTGAAGAAGGGCTGGTTGAGGTGCTCGAGACTGATGAATTGACCGCTGGTGAGACAAGCCCTGGCGTCGCCAAACAATCATAGTGCTTACGAGTAAGGCCTACATGGGCGACGTGAGAATGCGACATAGATATATTTATTTATTTATTTTTGCCTTCCGACAATTAATTGCAGATGTACCTCAGAAAATTTTCACTTAATGTCTCATACTCTACATGAATATTAAACCAATACGAAGTACAGCAACATATGTAGGACTTATTTCTACTGTCATTTACATCGTAAAGTATGTCCTCTTCAACTTGAAATAAAACCAATGACAATCCTGATGGTATCCTATATGCGTTCGTAAGCTTGCTAAAATACAACTGCGTTGATGTCCGCTTGTAAAAGCTGAAATCCAACAAATGCTTTGATCCATGCTACATCTCCGTGTTGGAAAAGCCCTTTCATCTCCGTTCATGATAACATCTTACTGTAGTACGCATGAAGGAGCATGTACGGCACTACCGTCGACTCCGACCCCGCTGTGAAGGAAAACCTCGTTCTCGTGTTATTAGTGTCTTTATCGCGGGGAGCTTCTTGGGGGGTTCCGGGGACAGCAGTATCGCACCATCCCCGGGGTCAATGGAGGCGTGACATACGTCCAAAGATGCACCTTAACATGCACGATCACTGCATATGAAAAACGGCGGGCAACGTCTTGGGAGCGTCCCGAAAATTGTTCCAATACTGGTTAAAATCAAATAGTTCAATGTTGATTGAAATACTGGATAGGATTATTGATCAATAGCCATTGGTCGACGGTGGTACGCTATCAACACACCCTGGTTCCTCTGAGCGGTATTCCAGTAACGCCCAACAAGGACACGAATTATCATAACCTCTTCCACAAGAAATCGCGAATCGTGTCTTCCACCCCCCCTCGCCTCTCTATGCTTGACTTGAGAGTAAACGAATTCACAAACTCGAAAGAAGGTAGTGAAGAACGGGCCGGCAGTAAAAAAACGTCAAGGTCGGGTCAAGGTTCAACCTCTGATTTTGGCCCAAGAAACGGTTGAGTCCCTCAATATGTTACAAATATTCTTTTTGTGTTGAGTGCGGGTTCTGTACCCCGAGTTTCGCGTTTTTCCATCCCTTCCCTTCGCTTCCCTCGTACAAATAGGACCGACCGAAGATGCTCAAGAAGAGGGAGTATAGTGCACCTTCAGCGTTTGCGATTGACTAGTGTTTTCACCGCCCAGGCCTACCACCGCCACGTCTCGCATGCTGACACAGACAGCCGCACAGGCCGAACTCGCGGAGCAGTATTTTCGCCGCCTTCCGGCGCGTTTTGATATTTTTCGGTGGGCCCGTGGAGTAATAATGAAACCATGTTTTCCATCCAACACGTTTCTGGAAAAAGTGTCAATAACCCGGGGGTTTTCCTCAATCCGAGTGTCAGTAAAGCGGGGACGACTGTACATTTAATTTTGTAAATCTGACGGGATCGCGCTTTTGTAGCCAAAAATAAAAACCAATTCTTCTCCGACCAAGCGATCCGTTAATCAATCACGCGTTGGAATTTATTCCCAAGCGATTCCGGCAATACTCAACCGGATCATCCTACATAGTTGTCCGGTTTTACTGTGCGACACACCTTTTTGTGCATGTGTCTTTCACGCGGGAATACTTTCGAACGTGTTTAGTGGACAGCGCTATCACCATCCCTGGTGTCAACGGGGGCGTTCTGTTCGTCGATAGATGCGCCTTGAAGAACAGAATCACAGCCCCAAAGGAAAACATATACTATGGCACCCCATGCCTGGTCTCTTCACCGCACCCGAAGGCACCAATGCTGCAATTCTCTCTATGATAATAGTAAACCTCAAATTTAACTTTGGTGAACAAGTTGTACCTAGAACAGAAGCGTAAGCCGAGGGTACGCTGTCAACCCACTTGTTCCTCAGCGCCGACGGCTAGCGCAACAAGGATACAGTCAAGACTGTGACTACAACGAACGGAGTGTTTCTTGTACCCAATCATGGCTTGCACGCCCCCCCCCCGTTCCTCCCCTATACCCTTCACTAGAGTTTCACGATTGGCCGAAGGCACAGCTCTGGAAAAGAAGGGTTTGGTGCAGCGTTTTACCGCATTCGCCATCCTCCTTTCCTGTACAAATTGGAGCAAACGTGCTCGAGACAAGAGTAGCGCTGAGATCGACGATATAAGACGACTCAGGCCTACTTCCATCGTTTTCCTTCTCTCTAGAAAGGAATCTCTGTTTACCCACACAAACAGCCAGCCGGAGGTTTAGGCCTCGCGGAGCACTTGTCGCGTTNGGGGGGGGGGGGCGTGGAGAAGAAACGACCCCGCGTGTACAGAACAGGCCTGCCGTTAAGAAATATTTCCAGAAACGGAGACTATCATTTCACGTAAATACAGAATACAGGGCAAAAAAAAAAAAGCCTACTCAAAGTTGGTCCTAGACTCAACTCCGCAAAACAGCAATGTTCGATAGTGGCGATGATACAAGACATTGAGCCTCAACCTGATTATTCTGTCTCTTTTCTCTTGCCCCGTTCTGTGCAACATCTGCAACATTTTCGCATGTGGTACGCGATACCATGGTTCTCTGAAAAAAAAAGGGAACCATTCATATCCCTTCTGGTGTGCCGTTGAGGCGGGTACGACCGCATGTCATGAAGAACTAATTTTTTCGTTTTAAAATGGGGACTTGTATGAAAGTCATAGACTTGACACTCCGATTGTCAGACCGATCGTTGCGCGCAACGGCTTGCCCTGTTTCAGATTCCGACTCTTTGCTTTTGCGGATCCCTCCTCCGCGCTTCCGTATTTGCATCTCACTCTGCTTTCAGTTATGGGAGACATCGAGCTTGGTGATTTACTATGTGACAGCCTTGAGGATGCTACGGACTCTAGCCTGCTGCGATTCACGATCAGCTCTACGGAGGTGAGGTCAGAGGGACAAGCGCCCGCCGGTTGTTGGCAGGCGACAACCTCGAGCAGCTGGTGTTGTGCCTTACACAACTTGGTGACGTGAGAAGGAGGATTGGTGACACAGCGAAGGGAACAAACCTCAAATGTGTTAACACGGAACTATGCAGCAGAGCATGGTTAACGGCCTCGCTCATAGCGCACGAACGTTCTTCATACCCCAGCTGTTGCCACACGAACTGCAAGCCTTCCACGCAATATGTCATTGTGCGTTTAGGCAGGGGAACGCCGCAGACACTCTTGTCGAATCACCGGAACTGTCGCCGAATGCTTCTCCTCTGTTAACCGTTGAAAAATCGATATTCTGGTGACAGACGGTGATAGCTGAGCGCACCTCCTACTCGTCCATCGACGGCAACGTTCTGCCGGACGGAAACGCGCGCAAGGTGGGTTCACCAAACATTGCGGGGTATGTACTCGTTTATAACGCTACCGTAGTCTTGAGACCATTGACTTCGCTCCAATGCCGGGACGGGGCGACGTACCCGCCCCATATTTCGCTTAAGCGCAATGCAGGCCTACGTTGACGAAGGATTGTTGTGAAATCGCCTCTCTGAACTTTGATGCCTTTTCAGCGTCCCTGTTTGGACAGAGTAGCCATGTCGAGAAAGTTGTCTAAACAGGAGGACGGCATCGTCCAGACAATGTCGTGCCATGACGCACACACTGCGGTTCACTCTTCCGGGTTGTTCCGTGTCCTGTCCGAGAATTTGACTGAACTGAGCTTCACGGCATTGAACCGCACAGCCTTTTCAGGGAGAGCAGGGCAATCAGCCCTTCGAAGTGGGCTACAGACAACACACACACGTCCACCCAACATTTTCTCGCTAGTCGTTATAATGACAGGGCCTTCATCACTTACCTTGCCATCGTGCGTCTCTTACCTGCAACTCGTGCGCATCTCCACCGACCTGTGGCGGCCTGTCTGAGGCTAGACCTGGCTGGGAGAAGTCGTCGACCCCGAACCCTCCACCAATTCCATCCCCAGGACTGTCAGTATGACGTGGACCGACCCATGCGACATTGAGGTAGGAGTCCTGGGGCAGGGTAGCTCAACGCCACCGGTTGCGACAACTTGTTGAGCAGAACGGGCTCGATACTAGTAGCCGACTGCACGGCCTTGGGCAACTGTAGTCCATTGCCGCACAGGCTAGTAGGCGTCGTACGTGGTGTACGAAGTGGGCACGCACGTATGGGCCTTACAGGGCAGATATCTCTTGTCCGTCCTACGTGCTCAATCCATACCGAGCATCGTCTGGGTAGACTTGCAAGGTTTTCCGCAGTTCCCTGTGTCTGATGTCGCCACCGTGTGTTACTGGACTGTTCGATTTCGATGCGTCCTCAGACTTTCCTCCTGAAGCTCGTGTCACGAAACTCAGACGGCAGCACCTCTATAGCCACATCCGTACCGTGCTCCGCTGGATCCAGCAGCGAAATTTGCATGGTGGAGGTAAGTGGGTTGTGGCTGCCTGGACTTGGAGTTCGTCAGCGCAGAAATGTGCTTTTCTATACATGTGGACCCGAGTCTGGCCACGGCTTGAACGGAGCAGCGACATGTGGCTGTCTCACTTGTACGTACAGTTCACGGCAATAAACAAGACCAGTGCGTCATTGTGCATGCCGTAGTTATAGAGGGAACGTTGCCCGAGTTGCGAAGCACGACGTTCTGCTGAACGAAACGACAAGGGATGAAACGATTCCGACGTGGGTTGTTGCGTTGATATCATTGATAGCGACTTTTGGAACAAATGCCCGAAGTAATTGAACGTGAGTGGCAGGTTGAACGTCCGTACGTATGCATAAGCGGAGACAACCGCCCTCTTGCTCGTAAACAACGCACAGCTCCAAAAGTTCTTCTACGACGAAAGCGACGCTGTGGACACTTCACAATCCTCTTCATCAAGCTCCACTTCCAAGTACCAGGGCTCTCGGATGCTAAAGGTGAGTTGAGACAATGCTCGGCAAGAGTAAGCCTTGTCTTGCGACACCTGAAGGGCATCACTATGCCTAGAAGTCCTTCTCGGTCTTGCGCACCGGGTGACGATCGTAAGAAACCATAAACAGTGAGTGCAGCAGATGAAAACATCATGCGTGTATCAATGCACCTTCATCAAACACCCGGCGAAGTGCTCTTTGCGGGCTTTGTGTGTTGCGCTCTGCTAGCCCACTTCCCATGCCCAAACGCTCGGTTGCTCTTCGCCGTGCTTCGTGTCTACGCGGTGAATCGCCCTCGACGCATTCCTTTGATTTCGTGCCAGGAACGACGTGTGTCGACGACCTTTATGGAGGAGGGGTCGCGTTGGTCGCAAGGCATACCAAGCGACCGCAGCCTGCAAGGCACAACAGTGGTATGCTCTTGAACCCGTTTGCCAAGCGCAGATCACGAAGAGTCGAAGTGAAGCTGTTTTGATGACGAAAACTCTATCCCCGCGAGAGATACCGGCAGTCGCTCACGTGGACGCGCAGATCGCCGGAACCTTGAAAGCGGGTGCAGCTGTACAATTAATACGTGCCTGGTAGCAGCCTTTTTCGATAGTCGCCAATACTCGAAAGCTGATACGCTTCACATTCCAAAACCTAACGCTTTACGAAAACGAAAACTATCGCCGGCACTGCCAAGCCGGCTCAACGCCATCGTGTGTAGTTGCGAGTGGAGTGGACGCTCGTCCATCGTTTTACTAGTCAAGAAATGCTGTGCGTGCGAAAATTGTTGCATTAGAACGCTAGCGATTTTTTTTATATCACGATGCCGATACCGCTCGGTTAAAGCACACCCACCTGGGAAGGTGGAGGGGGGGGGGGTGTTCGTTGCTTGAAGTGGGTCGATAAAACATAGAGCCATCAAAGCAAAGCTTATTACTCACGTCGAGCAAGCTGAACGACCGGACCAACCACGCAAAAACTGCGGAGCTAGATGTGCGGCACGCACAATGCATTGTTTTCGATTGGAGAGAGGCGAGTATAAAGCAGTAAGGAATTGTTGGCCAAACTTTCGGCAGATAGGTCTACTCGGGAGCGTAAGTGGGGTAGCAACCCATGGTGGAGCGTACATGAGAAGCTGGACGTTGGTGTACGCCCCATCCCGGCGTGTGAGTA